TTTCGAATAACATGTTTTTGAATAAAGAACATTTATAATTTCTCTGTAGGTTTGTACAGATGCTTGCTTAGTTTTTATTTAGGCAATTCATGCGGATTTCGATCCTTTTTTAGCATGAGCTCCGTGATTTATATGTTTACAGATGTACGTGTATGTTATAGGTTATAGATTTCTTTGTACGCAATCTTCCCGTCACTCTTTTTAACTATTGATATAAACTATACACTTTCCGGGCACTGACGATAGTCTTCTGACGTTATGTAATGACAGAGGGCACTTGCGGTCCTGTCGTTTAAGGCACCACAGGTCGCTGTGCATGGTTAGGGCCCAATTCTAAGACTTACATCACTTTGGTCTTTCCACACTCACCAAGCTGACACGCATATTGTAACTGAAATACTGTTCAAAGCGGCCCTTTACCAAAGTCCCTCCCTCCCTCACGACACATGCAGTATGTGCAGTTGCATGTGCGCTCGGATTAACCTTCAACTGATGTCATCATCACATCACACATTTCCCCCAATGAATGTCGGAGTCATTTTACCAATCTGCAAGAATCTGGTTACATGCGGTTACAGTATTTAATATAGACATCATGCTGTGCTTAAAAAACATCACTTCCTCATTTCAAAATCGGATATGATATAATAATCTTCAAGACAAGTTATACAAATATGTCCCGTATTGGACGTTTATTGGTTTACGAGTTTACATTTCACAATCTTAAATAGTATTGTTCTGTGTTATACATATATGTTGTACTATACATGCCTTTGCATGTGTTTGGGGCGTATGTCATCGATAGGGAAGGATACGCACACCTTTTCATGAACTCCTCGTATTATCATTAAATGATAGGATTTCATAAACACATGTTTATGATATGATCGTACTCGTACAATGGACTTTTATTTACTTTAGAACTACTTCAAGGAATCACTTACGTTTGAAAGTTCATTATCATGATAAACTGTGTTTTGGCATAAGGGGATATGAGTGACAGAGTTGTTCGCAATTTGACAGGGTTCTGTGATCGTGGGTTCAAATCGTAGATTCGCACTGATTATGACCTCTGGTCTGTCCACACTATACCCAGGCTCACTGGTTTACAAAGTGTTAATGTTTTCGTCCTGTGTAACTTTTATCTCAGATCTCTTCCCACATCAAACTATCACACAGTGATAAAACTGAAAAAAACGTTCAACGAGGCTTAAAGTAGAACAAACTCACTCACTTTTGACATACCGATAAATAACGATTTTTAAGATATCTTATCGCCATGAATGAAACGATTGTTATGATATCCAAATCACTTTATTGGACGTCAATTGCTTTTATTTCAAAATAGATATTACGTGCCATGTTCACACCTTAGCAAATGTCAATGCCTTATAATGCAGGGGGGGGCACGGGTGGCCCAGTCGTCTAAGGCGCCGCAATTCGCTGTGCAGAGTTGCGTCCCTTGGGCACGCCAGAAACCTATGATTGTGGGTTCGAATCCCGGTTCGCCCCGATTATGTTTCTAGGTTTGTCAGCACCATACCCGTGCTCGTGGGTTTCACCGAAGTGGTAAACGTCTGAGACCTGCATCACTTCGGGCTTTCCTCCCACAATAAGCTGACACGCCGTGATATAACTGGAATACTGTTAAAAGCGGCGTTAACCCCAACTCACTCACTCACTATAATGCAGGGTAAATCATTATGAGTGGCAGCAAGAATAGGAAGTTTTGTTGGGAAAATACATGTACAACTATAAACAGATTAAATTAGCTTAAGTAGTTGATATTTATTTATCCCCAGTTCTTGAACATGTCTCAATAAATAGAAATTGTTTCATATTTGTCAATAAGAGGTTAAGGTTTTATGCTAATCTATATCTGCAGAAAAATAGGACTAAAATGTCTGCAATTCTGACATATTTCTTTTCAGAAGTGTATTCTTGTATGTAGTTGTAGCAGGTAATATTTTCCCTGACTATAGTTAAGGCATGAGGGCATCATCAGCATTATACAATCAATTGTATGGTTTTGCATTTAATAATTCATAATGTACATTACTTTGGACCGAATTTAGTTTATTTTTAAGGCACGGACTTAGAACACCGTTCAAAATTGCGACATTGTTGTTTTCTGAGATTGAAAGGTTCTAGTCCGGGAAGACTTATGAAACAACAATGACTGAATAGAAGTGACTTTAGATTTTCGTTTCTTGCCCTTCTTTTGACTATTGGTAGAGTTCATTTTGGTTCACACAATTGGGTTAAAATGTGAATCATTCGTGTAAATTTGCCCGTTTCATGTCATCCATGTCAAGAGGTTTATTAATAATTATGTCAAAGGTGCTTTCTGAATTGTTAATGAATAGTTGTAATTATAAGGTTTCAATTTTCAAACAATAAAGTAACAGTAAACAATTATTTGATGCCCCCCTTACTAGGTTTAATAACGAAAGTGGAATGCAGATACTAGTATATAGGTCCTAAATAGATATATAAATAAATCTTTTAATCTTGGAAACTGTTTCCATGTTTGGTAAAGAACACATTTTGATAAATGATCTGGATAAACTTTGGAGATAAGCCTAACATGTTGTCAAATTTGAGGTGTCTTACTGTAGATTAGAGACATCATATCTTAATTCGGAATTTTTTATTTTTATTTTTTTCAAAGAGTAGGTTTATCTCCGTTCTACCACGACGACAAGAGCGCTTACACATGGGCAAATAGGCAAGCTATCTTCGAACGTACCGACAATTGCTCACATGTAGTGACATATAGTGACAAATAAAAAAAAATATTACTCAAGATCAAAATTTATTGCTTATATGCTTGACCAGTTCAAAATTATGGTTACACTATACAAAGTTTTTCAGAAGAGTTGATGTAATAAACCTTCATAGATATATATTTAATTTCATCACAACTTGATGCATATTTGCACTGCTTGGGACCAACAAAGTTTTTAAGTCAATACGACATCTTTCGTGTTGTATTAGTGACAAAAACGCTGGATAATTTATCTCTCAAATAACCTATGAAATCATAGTATTTTAGTTATTTTGAACTTGTATTTGTGTACCAGTTGGTTTGAAATAATACCCCACTAGCAGTAGAGAGAGACTGAGAGACGGCTTATTTGTCCAACCGATTATTGTTTGACCCTCACACAGAGGTGGTCAGTGTTCCTTTCACTTTTGTGTCTGTTCTGAAACAGACGTCATCCTGTTTGATAACAAGTTGTTCTGATATCGAACGTATACAATTCTTATTTTATGCAGCGATGGGTAGGATAACAATAGATCAATGTTTTTCTACGCAAGGCTTTTGTGTCAAAGGGCATGCTAATTTTTAGGTATCGAATGGAATTAGATACCTAACTTTAATCTGTTCTTCACTGTATTCGATTCCCGACATGGGTACAATGTGTGAAGCCCATTTCTGGTGTCCCCCGCCGTGATATTGCTGGAATATTGCTAAAAGCGGCGTAAAACCATACTCACTCACTCTTCACTGTAATGGTAGACTTACGTTGAAAGAGCGTCTAGGTATCAAGCCTCGAAAGGTTAGTTCATATTTGGAAAGACTTCAATGAAAGTTTGTAGCATAATATTTATTACTTAAATGTTAAACTGTTTCATTAACATCCAACTGTTATATTTGTATTCTTTTGTGAAGGTTTTAAATCTATATCCATATCACATACAGTAAACCTTATTGAGTTTCGCAAATGTCAGTGTGTTTTGTAAACAATGAACCCATTGACTGAGAACCATTTCTTAGTATACAAAAACCTCGTCGTCACATTGCCTATCACTTTCCGAATATAATGCCTACCATAAACTATAGATCATTTATGTTTAGTGTAAACTTTTTAATTTGAACCAAAAATATATTTCCCATATGTTTTGCGCTATCAAACTTATATTTTTGTCATGATATAGTTGTATTATTTTGTACACTGCATTCTACATGTAATGAGTTCATTAGTTCATATGAAGTAAATGTTTATATTATCTTTGTACGATTTCTCACTTTAACTATTCCCATCAGCGGTCCATCCAACAGTTCCTATCAGTTTGACATTCATTGCTACTACCACCTACTAGTATTCATCTCGAATAACATTTGAGAATATTACAAACAGAGACAAAATGTGGGTGAGTTGCTTTTTTCGACGTATATATATAATACGGGGCGTTGCAATGCGTTTCCAGTGGTGTAGACAAGTCAAATAAGTATGTAATCATGTACTCGATTAGAAATATCCGTTTCGCCGTGATTTTAAGTAGCATTGTAAAACTGACTAACATAGTCGTTTACTTAAACCCTTCAGGAAATTAGACACCGATACGTTTCTCTGTCGCCAAACATTGCAGCACACCACCTACATTTAGTTTGCATTATATCTCCGCCGGGATTCAATTGTGAAGGTGGTAAATATTGAACTAAGGTTTACAAATACGTTAACCATAGAAATGACCGACTGTAAATTCTGTGTTTTTAAAGTATTTTCAAAAGGCTAGAGCTTCAGAGTGACATCGAAGACTTATTGAATGTGTGATTAGCACAAACGAGAAACACGCTTATTCTGCATGATGTAATGCTCGAGTGCTGGCTTGCACACCGGATGTTTACACTCAAAACATAAACAGGCTGATTGATTTTGATGTGCCACAAAGAAGAAATTGTGAAACGTTTCCCTGGTTTTTTTTCTATCCTTGTGCTTTATTGCAAGGAAATATGCATGAAGTCACATATCAATCATTCTACAAGAAGAAACAAATTCCTACAATTTCAGTTGTGTTTTATGATTTAGAGATTGTTTTTTTTTAGGAACATTTAACACAAACGTCTGATTGACAAACTGGTGAGTAAATCATAACATATTTTAGAGTTAAAGGAGTTATACATGCATTTATATAACGCTAGTTTGTCGTTAAGGACAATGCTGGGAAAGCTGTATCATTTGTTGACGGCAAACGTTTTAACCGATACTCACATGGATCGACAGGCTCGAACTTGTATCCGCACCCGACATTGATGAATTCTCTACATCTGTTGATATTGACGTCAAAGAGTTGTGGGTAACGACATTCGGCAACAAAGGGTTCACCATGCCTCCATTTAGGGATGAGAGCTGTCTCCGTGCAGTTGAAGTACCAGTGGCAGTTCTTGGGGTGGGGAATCAGCTTGCCGTGGTTTGTTCTGCAGGGGTGTCCTGAAAGATAATAATGCCTTTGTGAACGTGAAAGTCTCTGCATTCTTTAATGGATTCATCATCGTGAAAATGGGAACGGAATTTGCCTTATTTCGGAAGATGTAAGGAACTGTATATTTATTCTTAAATTAATCCTTTCACAATAGTGATCCATTTGTTGTAACATCAGTATGACTGATTCTACGACACCCTCAGATGTACAAGATGTACAGATGTACACATGGGATATATACAGGTGTGCATAAGGGGTATATACAAGATCAACAAATGTACATATGGGACATATACAATATATTTTATGTGTACAAATGGGAGAAAAACAAAACAAACAAACACATAACTATCAAACTACATGGCATTAACACAGACATTCGTGGATGCTCTTCTGTAAGTCTTCCCTGTCATTTTATTCGTGATTGTTTTGTGCGATGCTTACTTGGTCAGCGTAGATTAGTGCTTTTCTTAATTTCGTGACATCATCTATAGAGGAGGTGTCAACCGCCGACGTGGACGGACAAACGAACCATGACTATGGATAATGGTTTTATTATATGCTTATTCTTTTCTCAAACACCCGTTGTCATCACTGATTTTAAGTAAGTTTCACCAATATTCACCGCTGTCCTTTTTGTATTTAGAACATAGTATACACTGACGTCCCCAACAGTAATAGCTGAATAAGCGGACTTTTGGGATTGGCTGCTCAGGATACCTATCCGTACCTAGACATATAATGGCTAATGCAAATGGCTCGTCAGCAATATATGTCATTTTTTTATCATTTGTAAACAATGCCTTTAATAGCTTTTCAAATATATGTAGACACTCGCAAAGTCTATATTTAGGTACATTTGCCATAATGACGCGGCGTTTTATCATCAATGACGATACAAGAGACGTTACGTAATACTATTTGTCATTCATATTTGTTATTGTTCATTAATACAATCAACCTAAATCTATCTATCTATCTATCTATCTATCTAGCTATCTAGCTATCTATCTAGCTATCTATCTAGCTATCTATCTAGCTATCTATCTATTTATCTATCAACCTGACTCCGTTTGGTTTAATTGGAGTGACTGAGGCTGAAACTAGTTATAACCAACCACAAGGTTTCACACATATGACAAACCCACTATAAATTCTGAAAGGTTTTCGATTATTATAATGGGAAAATTAGAATCATATGTGTTCACGTACAGGTATGATTAGTTCAGCAAATTAGAATAGCCACGTATACTTTTTTACTGAAGTTCAGATTGAATATATCATCTATTTTAATGCTTGTTTTGATCAAATACCTTCATATGTTGAAGGGGAAGAACGTCAAGTTCAGCACATAGTGTGTTGCTGAATGTACATGACGTGCATACACTGTTTATTCATGAAGCACCTGTTAGGCGTTTTCGATTGATTGTTTTAATTATATTATACATGTAGATGTGTTATTCATATTTAAAAGTGAAGTAGCTTACTTACAAGGAACATCAAGGATACACGCTGAAATATTGTTCGAAGTGCTCTTTAACCCAAGTCTCACAAACAATACGTCCTAACTTTATAACCATGATGTTATAGCATGCCGTTAGTGTGTTTTTGAAGGGTGCCACCGGTGGGGATGGATACGCTCCCCCTTTCTCGAAAACCTGGTTTCATCATCATTACTTCAATCTTAGAAACTGAACACCAGATTATATGTTGTATGGTGAATTGGGGAGATTTCCAATAAGCATAATCATATATAAGAGAATGATTTCGTTTTGGCACAAACATATAAGTAATAATCGACCTGTTACAATTTTTTTCTACCCTAATACTGAAATACATAAATTCTATACATAATACTAATAACAATAGAAACAACTGGATGCAGTCCATTAAGAGCTTATTAAACAGGGGTGGTATTTCTGTAGTTTTTAATCAACCGGATTCTGTAAGTCACGGCTGGTTAGCCTCAAAAATTGAAAACATTTTAAAAGATCAATTTATTCAAAAATGGAAAATGGATTTAACTACAAGGTCCAATACTTGCAACTTTAGAATTTACAAAACTAATTTCAAATTTGAACAATATCTTCTCTTATCACCAGAAACCACGCAAATATAGCAAATGTAAGGTTTGTACCTCCCCAGCCATAGCCGACGAGTTCCATTACCTCTTTGGATGTGAATATTTTTACCAGCACAGAAAAACATTAATTGATAATAGATATCTATGATATGTACGATGGTATGTATGGTATGTTATGATATGATAATGGTATATGAAATAATACTATATAGTATGATCTTATAATAATGATACAATATGATATGATGTTATAGAATATGTTGTATGATATAACAAGTTGTGATATGGTAAAATAGAAATTATGAAATTACAGTGTATGGTATTGTACTGTATGTGTGAAATTATGTGACTGCGTTGAGATGCGAGGTGGAATGACGTGAGGTGATTTGGTGAGATATGTACATAAATTGTATAAAATTGTATATTCTTCAAATTGTACTGTAGGCCTGTGGCCTCTTCAGTATGTGAAAATAAAGAATGAATAGATATCTAAACTGGTCAAACATTATTTCCTTTAAGCTTTTGATGTCAACTATGAGAACTTACAATCTTAAAAAAATATCTAAATTTATAAAAATAATACTCTCTGTACTGAGGTAAACCACTGTTGCCATTTGATCACATTGTATATATGTATGTTATTATGATGCTCGTATACCACCGGCTGGTGGTTTGAGTTAATAAAGAAATTGAATTGAATTGAATTGATAATGCTTCATAAACACATGCTTATGATATGTATTCGTAATCGTAAAATGGACTATGGTGATGGATATTTGCTTATATTTATAGATCCAAGGTGACGTAGGCTGCAACATACATGCATCACTCAAACAGTTGATATCAAAGTCCTGTTATAAAGTCAATATTCAACTTTCACGTCAAATGTCAAGGCAATATATAACAAATAATGTTTGAATTCCAATTAATATACTCACTCTGTAAATTCACAAAATAGAACGTCTATGACACACACTCTACAATATATATATGTAAACAGTTTAGATAGTTATTAGTTAATGTAATCAAAATATAGATTTTGAGTTATATTATTCCGTAAGCGTTATGTTTTACCAATAAGGTGTTATTTAATTTAGCTTTCCTTGAAAATTACATAACCATGGTTGTTTGAATATATTCTTATCTTAATCGGTATATACATGAAAGATTACACAGATTATTATGTTGGTGACGTATCCCCTTCTGGTGGAGGGATACCTGTCGCAGTGTTTCTCTACAGTAGAGGAATGGCATATTGCTCATTGGGGACACAACCATGTCATTAGTGGACAACACCTGGGTAATGTCACAGTGCTAGCAAGTTTGATTTCTGTCATGTTGTGTATGTCTGTTTACTGTACTTAAACCATGTATATCAATCTGGCAGTTATCGATTATACAATTGAAAAATACAAACTGTAACAACTAAACTGACTAGACCAGACCATGGTGTATACTCTCCCGCCAGCTGAATCAAAGGGGAACTCATTTCATGACATATGCTTCGGTCCGGTAGTTGCAAATTTGATATTTCGGAGGAAAATTCTCTTTGCGTTCCCGGGACCAGAAAGGACTCGAACATGGTTCATTGACACGGGATTTGGCACTCACGGTACCAGGCAAATAAAACGAAAACAAAGGAGTACCGCTCATCAATTTCATTACCGTATTAATGCATTTAAATCAATGACTGTTTAAAATGTACATGTTCATATTAATGTTCAGTCTTGATTATTGTTTAATTAATGCATTTTAAGTTAAAATGTATAAAGGTTTACAAATGTACATATTCATAATAATCAATCAATGTTCCATCAAATGGTCTCTCGAATTATGATGGAGTGAAAGATACACCCTCTGACGACTGTGGTTAGTGGAAACACGCTCCGGACGACATTGTGGGCAGACAACTCGAAATCATGTTCAACAACCTTACATGTGAAGTCTAAGTTCAGGTCATGTGCCTTCTCACGCAAATATTCGAATTCCCGCACATATGTAGCTTCTGTTTTATTTGGTAGGAGTGGATACACTAACATTGATCTTCTAAAACAAGCCCTTTATCTGCAACTGCAAACTGTAAACACAGTCAATAACTCTTTAAAAGATTTTATCTTCTTTAGCTTTATATGTAAATACAATAACATCGTGAGTAGACACATCAGCTACAACTGCAAAAACAGTCAATAACTCGTTTATATAATAAAGTGTATTTCTTCTAATGTATTTCGGTATGCCTCGTTTATATAATTAAACGGTACGCTTTCGCGGTTCAGCGCCCTCACGGGTAATCCGTCAATTCGGTACTCCCGGTACCAACAGCAGAATCTCCCAATTTATGAGTTTGGCACTATCGGGACTATCTGAAATTCAGATTTGGCTTCCCGGCCCATAACCCCACAAACACCTGGTATCATCACTGTTTGATAGTAATTCATAAACACGTGGTTATGATATAGTTATATATATGATACAGTCTGGATTAGAATTGTCTTATGAATATGTGATTTATCGTAGAGAAAGGAAAGGAAAAAGCACAATTTAGCTACGAATATGTTTAAACATATACGATAATAACTTCTTTATTGCCAAACAGATTTGCAGAAATCTGACCTTAAAATACAACGGATATCATTTGTTTTTGGTGTAAAGGCATACACACGACCCTTTTTCGGGTTAAAACTTTGGTAAAAATATGAATGATTGAAAAAAAAAAAAAAAAAAATTTTTAAATTGTTGGATGTGATAATGTCATTATTCCATCATATGAGTGCTTACTCTAATCATCTGCCAATAGTTGTTAAATAGTTCACTTGTCAGTATAATTAATGCCTTACACCAATCACCTGTAAATAGGTGTTAAATAGTTGACTTGTCTTACTCTAATCATCTGCCAATAGCTGTTAAAATAACTAACCTGTCAGT